GACAAAATGGGAAGGTGCCTATGGCTCAGTGGGTAGGGCGCCAGCCCCATATACCTAGGGTGGCAGGTTCAAGTGCAGCCCTGGCTAAACTACACAACAAAAAATAATAGCCGGGCATTGTGGCAGGCGCCTGTACTCCCAGCTACTGGGGAGGCTATGGCAAGAGAATCGCCTAGCTGGAGGTTGCTGTGAGCTGTGTGATGCCATAGCACTCTACCAAGGGCGATAAAATGAGACTTTGTCTCTATAAAAAAACAAAAACAAAAACAAAAAACAGACATAATGGTACAATTCTCTAGTGATCATAAAGCAGTGATATATAATAAGCAGAAAGAAAAAGATAATGAAGGTATCCTAAGAGCTCACAACCAGAATTTCAATCACAATGACATTCATAATCAGAGGTTCTAGAGTTTAAATTTATGTTACAGCATGCTATGATAAATGTCAGCACAAAAATACAAACTGAACATCAATATTTACCTCTAATAACCGAGGTATCCAGCCTTTCCGATACCCGTATGGGGGAGGTTCTCTTCGGGAAGAGACCAGTGAGGTCTGCCGTGATCTCTGGGATCTTGCCTTTTCTTCAGCCTCAAGCTGGTCCTGAGACAGCTGAGTAGGTGCAGGTAAAAAGCTATAAGCAAAGATAACAAAAGTCAAAATTTTGAAAAAACTCTTACATTTGATTATTGTATTTTGGCCATCTGAGATGATTTTTCCTACAACACTCTTTCCTTTTAGCAAAAAAGCAGACTTTTCAATGATTTATGGCAGTATTCAATATCAATCATTTCCTCATGTGTGGAAAGAAAGAAGTGTTCACAGATATATAGTAATATAACACATTTGACTAGGACAAAGACAACTGATACTCAGAATCAAAAATTAACAGGTTATTTCACACAATAGATAAACTACTAAGTGTTTATGCTTCCATTTCTTACAAAAAGAAAGCAAACATCCTGAATTATCCAGGAACCAACTATCTTAATATATGGTTCTCTAAGTTCCCTTGCTATTTTTATACTCCTTATTTTTAATTATTTATTCTTAAGTGTCTTACTTTTAACTGTTTTAATGTCAATACTAAGGAACTGGGATTAAAATGGAATGTAACAAAGAGGTAGGTAAAAGAAAGAAAACATGAGTGCTTGTCTAAGTACATTTTCCCAAGGGTATCTAATTTAGAATGAAATTTAAAATTGAAGAGGCTAAACAATCAAAGGAGAAGGTGTGAAGATATAACTTATTATCATTTAATCAAAGTAAACTTTCTAACATTTTTAACAATGTTTAAGTATTATTATGGTTATTGTACTGACACCCAAAGTATCAACACAAAGTACCACAAAGGGATTCAATAGATGAATATAGTTAGTGGAAAAAATAATTCAGGTTCCTTTGTTATTCTTGGCTAGTAAGCACATTTGAGTAAGCAGTTGGTGTTATCTATACAAAAATATGTATTGATTAATTAGGTACAGGCACCATGTTAGGAAAGCAATGAGACTGGAAACTGAGAATGAAGAAGGCATTTACAGCCTTGTAGGGCAGAGAGACTATTAAATAATCATATAAATCCATCATTTAAAATTATATTAAGTGATGAAGGAAAAGCACAAAGTGCTAAGCATTCATTGGAGGGATCTAATCCAGTGTAGAGAGGTCAGGCAATGTGCTGGCTAAGAGAACTCAGAGTTCAAATCCTATCTATGCCACTTACTATCCTGAATACTTTAGCTTACCTCTTTTGAACCTGTTTTCTCACCTGCAATGACAGATAGTAAGAGTACCTACTTCATGAAGTTTTTATAAGTATTAAATGAGAAAAATCCATGAACTAGTTGGCATATTTTCTAGACACTGTCCTATATATATTCCATAAATGTTTATTTGGAACTGTTCTGATTCCCTCAGTTTGGGTTAGCAGCTCCCCACCTAAGCTCTCACAAGACTCTTGGCATGCCAAGGTAAGAACATCTATCTTCCTTTATCACAGTCATCTATCTGTTCATTTGCCTATCCTTCCTTCAGTAGACTGCAAGCAACCTGAGGATCATGCATGCCTTGTGCTTCTTTCATCCCTAATTCTAGCTCACAGCAGGGAGAAACAAATGACTCTACCCCTGGCACTCACCATCTTTATGTCACTACAGCTTTTTTTGTCTTTCCTTAAACAAGTCATCTCAGGATCTTTACATTTGCTCTTCCCTTTGTCATAAAACATATTCTATTTCTTTCTTTCTTTCTTTTTTTTTTGAGACAGAGCCTCAAGCTGTCCCCCTGGGTAGAGTGCTATGGCATCACAGCTCACAGCAACCTCCAACTCCTGAGCTCAAGCGAGTCTCCTGCCTCAGCCTCCCAAGTAGCTGGGACCACAGGTGCCCGCCACAACGCCTGGCTATTTTTTGGCTGCAGTTGTCATTGTTGTTTTGGCAGGCCCGGGCTGGATTCGAACCCGCCACCTTAGGTGTATGAGGCTGGTGCCTTAGCCACGTGAGCCACAGGCACCAAGCCAAAATATTCTATTTCTTAAGAAGTTTTTTCTATGCTTTTACAGAAAACTCTTCCTAAGATATTTTAAGTTTGCTTTCTTGTCTCTGCTCAAATACATTTCCCTAGAGCTGTTTTCTGACTATCTTGTCTAAAATAGCCACTTTACCTCAAACTTTGAGTCACCCAATGGTGAGGAACCTGCAGCCTCAAGGCCACAAATCCAAACTTAACAGAACAAATCTTTTCAGTACAAGAATCTGTTCTGTGAAATTTGGATTCAGTCAAAGGCTGCACACAAGGATCCAGAAAGTCACATTACCTTTATTTTACTCCAAGCACTTATCACCTGAAATTGCACTACTGTTTTTATTTTCCTTCTTTTTTTGAGAGAGTCTCACTTTGTCACCCTTGGTGCAGTAGCTCGCAGCAGCTCACAGCAACCTCAAACTCTTGGCTCAAGTGATTCTCTTGCCTCGGCCTCCTGAGTAGCTGCAATGACAGGTACCTGCCACAATGCCCAGCTATTTTTACAGCCGGGTCTTGCTCTTGCTCAGGTTGGTCTCCAACCTGTGAACTCAGGGCAATCCACCCAGAATGCTGGGATACAGGCGTGAGCCACTGCACCTGGCCTGCACTTCTTTCTTTTTGTTTGTTTTTTGAGACAGAGTCTCACTAAGTCACCCTCAGTACAGTGCTGTGGGGTCACAGCTCACAGCAACCTCAAACTTTTGGGCTTAAGGGATTCTCTTGCCTCAGTCTCCCAAGTAGCTGGGACTACAGGCGCCTGCCACAACACCGGCTATTTATTTTTGGTTGCAGTTGTCACTGTTGTTTAGCAGGCCCGGGCTGGGCTCGAACCTACCAGCTTCAGTGTATGTGGCTGGCACCCTACTCACTGAGCTACAGGCGCTGAGCCTGCACTTCTGTTTTATTCATAGTCTTTCTGTCCTACTAGCTCTATGATATTAGAGAATATAAAGATATAGGGGGGAAAAATTCTCAATTTTTTCCTACTTCACTCAACACAACATGCACACTTCCGACACCAGATGTATGGAGGTTTCCTTCCACATAACAAGCAAATAATCAATTCTCCAACAGACACCAGCTAAGTGTCCTCCAATTCAATTGTCTCCACCTGCAAACAGCTTCCGATTCCACAGGTTGAGGGCTCTCTCCACAAGACTGCTGCCACTTCACGTGCCAATAGTAAGCCAGTAAATCTGTGCCACTAACCAACTGAATACAAACCAAGGTCTTCTTGATCTCATCTTTGGGTTGGTTAATTCGCTAGGATGACTCCCAGAACTCAGAGAAACACATTTAACACATTTATTATTATAAAGGATGTTACAAAGGATGCTGATGAACACCATTTGGAAGCTATGGAAAGCTACACAGTCCCCAAGGCTGGCCATTTAAAGATTGAATCCTGCCACTGCAATCATAAGCATACAACACCCATGACATCTCTAGGAATTTTACCTCTGTGTCCATTTCAAATTCCCTTTTCCACAAAGCCTTCCCTCATAACTCTAAGTCAGAGTTCTTCGCATCTGGGGGGCACTCAAATGTTTACTGAAGGAAATTCTCCAGGCCACATAGGTCATTCCACCTAATTCCTTTTGCGTTAAGGTTCATACTACATAAATAAGCATTTTGTGCTGTTCTTTAATTTTATATCTGTATGACTCCTATTCCAACTTCCCTGAAGTGGAAGACATCTTTCTGTACACACAACCCGGAGGACAGAGTAAGACACTCTACAGAATTTGAGTAAATCAAAATTCTCAAAAGAATTTTCTGATTAAAACATTTTCAGGATTCATATTGTCATCAGCCAGGAAAAATACGTGTAAGAATGAAGTTCGTTAAGGGGGCTCAAGTTAATCTCCTAAAACGATTACTTTCTTTATAATCTTCTTTTAACACTAGACTTTTCCTGTTGAGTTCACGTGTAAAGTTTCTTTACTTAGATGGGGAATCGAGGCTATACACTGGTGCGAGTTGCGTAACTTCTTGGAATCTCCCATTTAGAGCATCATTTTTTTTAAAGGTGGGGAGCCCTTTACATAAGGTTACTAAGGCGACGCGCAACAGCAAAAATCTGACGTGGTTCCATCTACGGAAGAAATTCTAAGATCCAAAGTTAAAGTGCGGAGCAGCGGCGCACATTAGCACACAGTGGCCTCTGCTGTAGCTCCTTTGACATCTCCGTGCAGCTCCGGACCCCTTTTATTCAGGAATCCGGGTTTCGGGAAACAGAGCGGACAGCCAAAGGAGATAAACCGCGGCTAGCAAACGGCCGGAACGCCGCGCAGTCGCATCCCGCGCGCTTCACTCCGCCCAGACAAATCAGCCACTGCCCTCCCCGACCCCACAGCGCACACCCGAGCCGCGGACCGGAGGGAACGCTCTTTACACCCTGCAAGATGCTTTAGCGAAAAACTTGCGCGACTCCGAGCGTCTGAGGCCACGCCTCAGCTTTCGGCCTCACTGAGGAGGCAAAGTAAACCCGGGAAGCCGCTCAGCAAAGACCTCAGCTTTGCCGAGGCCTATTCGCCGCGGCGGTCCGCGGGAAGGCCTGGCCATAGTCTTGGCCCGCGTCACTTTGAGCCTAGGACTAGGTCACCGCCCGGAGAGTGTGAGCAGAGAAATGAGAAAGATTGCTACTACTAGACCCTTCCGTATCGAGGACCCGAATCAACAACCCACCTGGTGAGCGCCATCTTCTTCCGCTTCTTCCAGCGCGAGCGACAGCGCCGCGGGGCGGGTCTTTCCCCGGCTACGAGGAGCGGAAAGGAAGGAGTGCGCAAGGCGCAGGCGCCGTGACCGAACGGCCTTCTGGGATTTGTAGTTCTTTGAACTACAACCTATTTCTATTCTGACCGGACCAATCTTATCAGGAGATAATCCCGTCAATTAAGAGCAGGTGCATAACTCCATCAATCATACCTTGTGACTGGATAAGGCGTTCCATGGGTAAAATAACTAAGTTGGAGGGAGATGCCTTTTATGCCGCTTTATTTCATTCCCCACTGACTCCATTCCCCTAGAAGTGATACCAAATGCAAAAGCCTTCCAGGGACAACAACTTTTATGATTATTATTATTTAAGACAGAGTCCATGATGTCATAGCTCACAGCAACCTTTTTTTTTTTGAGACAGAGCCTCAAGCTATCACCCTGGATAGAGTGCATGGCATCACAGCTGACAGCAACCTCCAACTCCTGGGCTCAAGCGAGTCTCCTGGCTCCGCCTCCCAAGTAGCTGGGATTACAGGCGCCCACCACAACTCGCGGCTGTTTTTTGGTTGCAGCCGTCATTGTTGTTTAGCGGGCCCAGGCTGGATTTGAACCCGCCAGCTCAGGTGTACTTGGCTGGCACCTTAGCGGCTTGAGCCACAGGCGCCGAGCCAGCAACCTCAGACTCTTTAGCTCAAGCGATTTTCTTTCCTCAGTCTCCTGAATAGCTGAGACTACAGGTGCCCCCCACTACGCCCAGCTATTTTTAGAGGAGGGGGTGTCTCACTTTAGCTCAGGCTGGTCTCAAACTCCTGAACTTGGGTGATTCCCCCCCCCCCCAGTGCTGGGATTACAGGCGTGAGCCACTGCCCCTGGCCTATTTTATTTTTTATTTTAATTTTTTGAGACTTGAGTTTCATTTTGTTGCCCTAGGTAGAGTGCCATATCATCATAGTGCACAGCAAACCTCAAACTCTTGGGCTCAAGCGATCCTCTTGCATCAGCCTCCCAAGTAGCTGAGACTACAGGCACTGGCCAGAATGCTGGGCTAGTTTTAGAGACCAAGTCTCGCTCTTGCTCAGACTGGTCTCTAGTTCCTGAGTTCAACTGATCCACCCAGCTCGCCTCCCACAGTGCTAGGATTACAGGTATAAGCCAACCCATCCAGCACCAGCACAGCAACTTTAAATGAAAGAGTAAGGCTCAGTGCCCATAGGACAGTGGTTACAGCACCAGCCACATACACCAGGGCTCGCGTGTTCAAACCCGCCTGGGGCTGCTAACCAACAACTGCAACAAAAAATGGCATTGTGGTGGGCACCTGTAGTCCCAGCTACTTGGGAGGGTGAGGCAAGAGAATCACTTAAGCCCAAGAGTTTGAGGTTGCTGTTAGCTGTGACACCATAGCACTCTACTCAGGGCAACATAGTGAGACTCTGTCTCAAAAAATAAAAAGAAAGAAAGAAAGACTAAGAGGGCCATGCGAGGTGGCTCATGCCTGTAATCCTAGCACTCTGGGAGTACCAAGTGGCTGGATTGACTGAATTCATGGGTTCAAGACCAGCCTGAGCAAGAGCTAGACCAATCTCTAAAACTAGCTGGGAGTTGTGGCAAGTGCTTGTAGTCCCAGCTACTCAGGAGGCTGAGGCAAGAGAACAGGGAGCCAAGCCCAGGAGTCTGAGGTTGCTGTGAGCTGTGATGCCTTCGCACTCCACCAAGGGTGACAAAGTAAGATTCTGTTTCTAACAAATAAATAACAATAGAAAGAGTAACAGGGTTTTTTAAGGGATATCATGAGACTAGTTGGGAAGCTCTTGGACTCTTTGGAAACATTCACATTCAAAATTTTTCTTTAAGCAGTCTGCCTCCCTGCAAAACACTCTCCTAGGGAGGTATTTGTGATCCTTGTTAAGTTGCTGAGTGTTAACCTGGCTGCAATCATAATATCAGCCCAACTGAGAACTCATGGGAAGCTGAGGAGAAAAATATGACTTCTAACCTCATTACTTTTATTGGCAGAATTCAGTTCAGTTGTGGGATAGAAGTGCCTACTTTGTTGTCACTCCCAGGTCCTTCCCACATAGGTTTCTTCCAGGCCACTTGACTTCATTTTTTGCCACCCATGGGAGAAAACTGTGCTTTTAAAGGGCTCAAATAATTAGGTCTGTCAGACCCACCTGGATATCTCCCTCTTTTAAAGTCAACTCTGCTACACCGCATAACTCAATCAGGGAATTGATATCTGGTCATTGTCACAGCCCCAGGCATTATTTATGCAGGGCTTGTATAGGTAGAGGGAGGAGATGGGGGCAGGAATAGCTACACCAAAAGAAAAAAAAATGGTTTGGGTATTTTGGGTTGTTTTGGGACAGGGTCTTGCTCTGCCCACCAGGATAGAGTGGAGTGTCATCATAGTTCACTGCAACCTCAAACTCCTGGCCTCAAGCAATTCTGCCTTAGACTATAGGTGTGCCCCACTATGCCCGGCTAATTTTTGTATTTTTTTGTAGAAATGGGAGTCTCAGCAGGGTGTGGTGTGTCACACCGGTAATCCTAGCACTCTGAGAGGCTGAAGTGGGTGGATTGCCTGAGTTCATGGGTTGAAGACCAACCTGAGCAAGAGCTAGACCCTGTCTCTAAAAATAGCCCTGGCTTTGTGGCAGGTGCCTGTAGTCCCAGCTACTTGGGAGG